TCGGGCGCCAGCCCCAGCCACTTGGGTAGCATGATGCTAATAAAGTCGAAGAGTGATTGTTGCCCCTCTGCTCCCTCTTTTATGCCGAAGATGCGCAGGTTCTTTCGTCGTCCGCGGTTTTCCAAATCATCTGTTTTGGCTTCAAGAAGTGCGATTCGTTTGATAGCCGAGTTCAGTGACGTTTCTGTTTTCTCAAGTGTGCTTTCAACTTCGGCAATGCGGGCTTCGGCCTCTTCGATATGAGCCCCCTGGTTCAATATGTCTTGCTTTACCTCCGAGACTTTACCCTCCAGTGCAGTCACTGCGCTCGCCATCCCAGTCAGTCTTATATCGATGCTGTCCAACTTGGCTCCAAAATCCGACCGGAGTGATTTGAGTTCATCCAAAACCTCGGCTATGCTAGCCATGTTAGCATCTGTGTCGGACGTTGATGGTATAGCGCCTGTCTTGCGTCTTCGGGTAAAGATGTCACACTGTTTCACAGATGAAGCTTTTGACATGTCAGTGCCGTATATTCCAGACCACACTAACAGCATATGCAAGGGTTTTTTATAGAAAGTTTGTACACTGTCCTGAGAGCGACCTCGCTAAGCTGCCATCTTAATGCTTGGCCACGTGACCCCCCCTCTGGAAAGCTGAGTTGAATTTCATATGCCACACCCAGGCCTGACCTTCTGTCAGACCTGCTGAATCAAGAAATCACTTAAATACAACCTGCCTGAACAGTAAAGTAGGTCACTGACATCTGTAAGTCTGGAAAGAGTTATAAAACCATTGTAAGGCTTTAGTAAACCACATGGAGAAAACCTGGAACAGTGATGAACCTTTCCACAAGTGGCCAGACTAACAAAACCAGTCCAAGGCCGCATCAAGAAATCACACAAGAAGTCCTAAAAAAGCTCAGATCAACATCTAAAGGACTGCAGGCCTCACTCGTCTTAGTTAAGGTCCGAGGATAATATTTTAGCCCAAAGCACAAAGACGACCAAAAACGGTTACAAAGGTTCATCTTAGATTTGCCAAAGAAAAAAAGACTTTAGGGAAAATATTCAGTGAAACTGAACTTTTTGGAAGGTTTGAGTCTTATTACATCTGGTGTAAAATTCACACAGTATTTCATAAAAAGAACATCATGCCAACAGTGGTAGTGTGATGGTCTGGGGCTGGAGCGCTAGCTGCAACTGATGGAGTGGTCTCGTCAAAGACTTAAATCTGATCGAGATGTCAAAGCATCTCAGGCTGTTCGTGCGAGAAAACCCTCCAATGCGGCTGATCAAAGTCGCATGTTTCATTTAATCATGTTATCTCTGTCTAATATTAAAATTTGTTTGATGACATGAAACATGGCAGTGTGACAAACATGCAAAAAGAAAAGTTCAGGAAGGGGCAAAGACTTTTTCACAGAACTGTAGCCATGTACACCTCAGAATCCATCGTGCTATTTCTATCAGTACTCATCAATAAACACCGGTGACCCAGGTCCACTGAAGTGTTAGATGCTTTTTCTATCCTGGCATTCCTGCACTGACAGTGGTTTGCATCGTGTTGTAAGCCTTTCATTCATGCAGACATGTCTTGATTGTAGACTTTGATGGTGACATGGATCAGTGCTACTGGCTGGGATTTTGTAAAGACAGTTTTCTTATCCAAGGGAAGAAGTGTGAGATCATTCACTTTGATTATCTTCTGTGGTCTTTGTGCATTTCTTTTTCTTAAGACTGTGTCAGATTGGTGACCTGGCATGAATTTCTCTAACAGTTTTGGTTGGTATTTCTTGTGATGGCCTTCTTAGCACTGACGTCTCTTTTCACCACATATTGAGAGCTTTGGTGAACAGCTATAAAATATGAGTTCAGCATCTTCTCTCTCCACTCTGCGTTGTGTCCTCATCTCTCTATCTCTCGCTTTCCTCTGAGCTGCCAACTGGTCAGAGTAGATAGCTGTTCACCTTTTAAGATGAAGAGAAGGAAACAGATGTGCTAATTCTGCTTTGGATCAAAAAGCTACGATATAAAAGAATACACATGATCATATTCAAAGGCAGATGGTCTATGAATGGCTTAAGACCTTTCATCACCATGTAAATATGTATGTTTGCATTCCTCTCATGTTCATATATATAGACTAATGCAATACTTTTGTTATGAAGGATGTTATTATCAAAAACTCTGGTAAAAGCACTACAATCTGAAAGTTGTGACAACATGGGCAGCCAGAAGACCAATGCAGGCAAAAGAGGTGCAGCACAGAGACAGCGGACCACCAAAGGGTCGGACGTTTTTTAGGTAGAATGGGGCTCAAGAAGAGCCAGCCGTTTGCATGCACTTGGAAAACAGACGCCAGAAATAAAGATCAAACTGGAAAAAACACCAAAAAGTGATGGCAGAGAGTATTCAATCACATTCAACAGCTGCATGTAAAAGCCTGGGAGGTATAAAGAGAAGTCATGGTGGGAAGTTCCCGATGCGGCATGAGCCAATAGCAGCATTTTTAGATCAACTAAGAGACGGCGTGTTGGAGCAGGACAGGAGCCGGCTGAAAACTCTGCTGCCCGTTGCGCGTTTGTGAACTCTAGAAACTATAAGTACAAGCTTCTAAGAGCTCTGTTTGGGTAATATAGTAATAACATATATATTCTGGTGGGGCGCACCCACTCAGGAGAGTTTATGTGAGGAGAATGATTTGACATTCAATTCTAGAAGCCAATGAATTGAAGAAGGGGTTGACTTTTCCTCGAGCTACATGATGACAAACCTGCCATCAGCATTTGGGGTTTTTTGTCTGCTTGCTTTTAAATGAATACAAAAATGATACATGCAGGGTAAAAACTATGCATAAAGTACACAATCGGCACTTTTCTAATTATTCTAAATATTCTTAACTATTTAAACATCTTTCAGTATCCTGCTCTGTCTGCACACCACAACCTGAGTTTGCCAGGTATCTGTTCTTTCATTTTAATAACGGTACAGTACTCTGTTTTGGTAACTATTGTCCATGATGTAAATATGTAAAGACTGTGTGTGCTTCTGTTCTGTGTCCTGTTCTGTTTGTTTACGTGTGTTTTTTGCTGCTGTTACAACCAAATTTCCCCCGGTGGGACAGTTAGAGGATTCTTCTATTCTAAAGCACAACTTAGATCTGGTCAAATGTCCCTTTGGTAAGTTTCCCTCTAAATACATTTTCAGTAGCCGAGTTTTTGGATATGTTAGTTCAGTTTAAATGATTGTAATCCCTGCACAGACTTGATTTTTTTAAGTACTGTTGGGTTTAGTTTTTTTAACCTTTATTACGACAGAATAGTTGAGAGTGGACAGGAAAGGAAAACTCGGGTCTCTGCTGTACCTTTGTGGCATATAGCTCGCTTGCTCAACCTTGTGAGCTACACAACCAGTTTCATTTTGGAAAGGTTATTCCACAACTTTAGCGTGCCTTGCTCCACAGCAGGTGTTTCTGCCTTGCTGATGCATGTATCATGCCTAGCAGCCGGTACAGTTTTCTCCAGGTTGAACGACTCACCTCGACTCCTTCAAACATTCTCACCATAAAGCTTCCCTTCAAAAATGACGTTTCTTTGTTCACATGATCACCTATAAACTTTATAAAGTGTCAGTTTTAGATGGTAGCCTCTCATTTAATGGTGATGTAAAACTTGGACAGTGGAAAGTGACACATGTTTCCAGTTCATGCCTGGCATGTGCAGACTGGTTTCTGGGCTGGATCTGAACCAGCATCTTCTCCACTGAGGCTGACAGTTTGGGCCTTTGTCCAGTGGCTCCTCCAACTCTTTAATAGCAGCTTCACACTGAGACCGTGCTGACCTGAGTAAACCTACAATTCTGTTTTTCACATTTGTTCATGCAGAGAAAAGTAAGAGAACTTCACCAGGAGGCAGACATTGTAGAATCAGTGCCACTAAATTCTTATTGCATGTTGATTTTTGTATATCTTTGGCCTTGTGTTCCTTTATGGGAAAAGAAAACCAAATAATTACCATTTTTAAGCGCTGTCTAAAGTGTGTGCTGAGCATTCACTGTAGAAAAAGAACAACTCAAAGACCAATATAGCCAAAACATTTCTATCAATGATGAGCGTAACTTAACAAAACTACTGTTTTGTGTTGCTATGTGTGAATGAAGTCATGTGACACATCAGGAGTGACCCCTGCCTGAACAGCAGAATCCCTCCCAGTGAAGCCTGCAATGGTTTAGTTGTTGTCAGATTAAAGGAAAGGAGCGCCAGCCTGAAACGGGCTGTATATCACTACGTGTAATATATCACTATTTGCCATCTCGAAACAACCTGTTTTCTGGTGAACCCTCATGATACCACTGATGGTTTTATTCGATAACATACACAAGTGAAAAACTTGCATGGGTGTGGATTTGAAAGGATGTGGCCCTTTACCAAGAATGACCTAACAACCATCCTGAACTGCATTATTAAAAGATGTCCCACACATTTAAATTCGAAGCGAGCTCTTGGTAGCAGGCTTTCCTAACATACTGCTTTTTCTCAATTTGACCTACTTAAGGAGCCTTTAAAATATGAAGCGCAGAAACGCGTAGCGGGCCCACAGAGAATGAAGAAGAGCTGACAGAGCATCATGGGTGGAACCGGGAACAACAGCAACACAAAGGAAACATTGCAGTCCAAATGGATTCCTAAAGCCTGTTTCACTGTTAAACAAACAAGAACGAAAGAGCGTGCGTCATTGACAGACGTTGACGTCATTGTGTTTGTTAACAATACGCAGCTCGATGCGGTTGATCAGCTCCGGCTCCTGAAGGCCTCACGGTGCACACAAAGAACTAAAACATCCACCGCCATTCACCCACATCACCCTCTTCCTGCAGTCTCCTCTTTCTCGCTGTGCGCGGAGGAGCTGCGGCGTGGATGCTGCTGCCATAAAGTAACGCCATCCATCCATCCCCGCCACACACACCTACACCCTGCGATCACGGACACATTTCCCTCGGCCGGCCCTTTCCGCAGTTTACCTTGTAGATGAAAAATCACTCGGGCATTAATCCATGATCAGCACGTCGCTGTCGCTGCCTCGATCACGGTTCTTCCACCGGTGCGGCGCAGAATGGGCGAAATAAATAATTATTACGAGCTGGTCCTGCGTCCAATCGCCGAGCTAAAGATGCGCCATAGACAGAAAACCACATTCGGCTCCTCTGCAAAGTCGTTCGCATCCAAGCACAAGAGCTTGTCTATTGTGTTTTCGATCGCCGAGTCCTACAGTGGCCCTTTCTGTCTCGTAATTTCTCCTCCACACACACATGCACACACGCAGAGCGGAGAGGCTCAGTCTCATTTAAAGAGATAGGCGAGGGCAGCTGGAGCAGCGGCGTGCACAGAGCCACCGTGTCTGCTTCTTATGTAACCCGAGGAGCAGCAGCTTCTGCATGCTGCACACCCCGAAAACCAAACACCAACAGCTGCTTTACCTGTGCCCGTGTGTGTATGTGACTGCTACCTGAAGCAACAGCGCACGTCATTCTCCACTCGTGACAGACAGCAAACTTCACTGAACCCCCATTACTGTGGAGGACACACAAAACTGTGTGTAGGCCGCTCATATGATGCAGAAGTTGGAGCAACATTAAACAATTTGCTCATGAATAAAGAAGCGAGTTATTTAACTCTTCACCAACTGGGTGACTCCGCATGCTCCGACTATTACAGCATTTGTAAACATGCTCTGTGAAAAACTGGTGTTTGACCTTAAGAAAGAGTTCAGGCTGCCACAGTTATCCAGATGTAAGGTCAGCAGCATATGCAGATTCTCGTTTTGCAGTCTTCTGGTCACCGATTTTGGGAAATGCACTGATCCTTGGAAGTTTTTACTTTATGCACTGAGGGATGTACTAAAACGATTATCTTCAAAGACAGCACGGACAGGGGGTGAAGAAGAAAAACAGAAGAGGGATGCTAAAAAGTGGCAGACATATGCAGTCCTACTTTTAAACTTGATTCTTTTAAAACTCTTTGTTACTATAGCAACACAGTCTTAGTTCAAAGGAAAACTACTTGAAAAGTAAGCCAACAGAGCGGGGACAATACACCTTCATTAGAAGTTATAATAAAATGTAGCAAGAAAGGTGCACAGCTTATCTGACCAATGGGCAAACTCCTGCCCATTGCATCGATCGTTTTGTCATTTCTATGATATTATGATTTATTCCTTAATATTCCAGCACACTTGCTGCACAAATTAGCAGGCGGCAAAACTGACTTCTTTCCAGTTCACAGAGCCCTTACATTCGATATCTTAATTTCAGTGATATTTATCTAGCTGTGCTAGAAAGTATCATCACATCTGACTCTTAATATATGGTGCAAATACATTTGCTGATTATAAAACCTGAAGTTTGTCACAAACAGCGGGTAAAAATTCAAGAGCACTTCAATACTGACTCCAGTTTTGGACCAAGAAGCCAGGTCCTATAGAGTTTATTGGAATAACTACTTCCTACTGGGAATGTATCTCTTTATAAGCCGTGCTTTGATAAGGAAGTGACGCCACGGTAGACTCTCCTCCTATGTTTGATCTGTCCATTTTCTCCCTTTTTCTTTATTGCTGTGCCACTCTCTCAGTCCAAAGAGGCAGGGAGCTGGAGAGCATTCTATTTTTAGTCCTACAAGCCTGTTCAGCCTCCCACCCACTTTGGCACAAAGAGATACACCCACATAGATGCACACAAAGCGTCAGTAGACAGTGCGCATTCAGGCACAAAACACAAAAGGTTCCATTTTACTGTACAAAACGTACCGACACAAATACACACACACACACACACACACACACACACACACACACACACACACACACACACACACACACACACACACACAAAGTCAATTAAGGCATTTGTACAAATAAATCAAAGTCTTATAAAAACTAGAATCAGACATGCACCATAGCATTAATAATGCAGGATTGTTAGCGGAAATGACAAACACTCATTGTATTCTATAGCGGGGGAAGGGCTCCCAGTGCCAGCAGCTTCTGTAAGGAATCCATCCGTTTTTGTGCATGTGTAGATAGTAGCAGCAGTAGTGCACGAGGTGCTTTATATTGTAAGGTAAAAACCCTAAAATGATACAAAGAAGACAGAGAAAAACCCAACAATCATATGACCCCCTATGAGCAGCACTTTGGCAACAGTGGGAAGGAAAAACTCCCTTTTAACAGGAAGAAACCTCCGGCAGAACCAGGCTCAGGGAGGGGCGGGGCCATCTGCTGTGATTGGTTGGGGTGAGAGAAGGAAGACAGGATAAAGACATGCTGTGGAAGAGAGACAGAGGTTAATAACAGATATGATTCAATGCAGAGAGGTCTGTTAATACATAGTGAGTGAGAAAGGTGACTGGAAAGGAAAAACTCAATGCATCATGGGAATCCTCGGCAGCCTACGTCTATTGCAGCATAACTAAGGGAGGATTCAGGGTCACCTGGTCCAGCCCTAACTATATGCTTTAGCAAAAAGGAAAGTTTGAAGCCTCATCTTGAAAGTAGAGATAGTGTCTGTCTCCTGAATCCAAACTGGAAGCTGGTTCCACAGAAGAGGGGCCTGAAAACTGAAGGCTCTGCCTCCCATTCTACTTTTAAATACTCTAGGAACAACAAGTAGGCCTGCAGAGCGAGAGCGAAGTGCTCTAATAGGGTGATATGGTACTACAAGGTCATTAAGATAAGATGGGGCCTGATTATTTAAGACCTTGTATGTGAGGAGCAGGATTTTGAATTCTGGATTTAACAGGAAGCCAAAACAGGAGAAATCTGCTCTCTCTTTCTAGTCCCTGTCAGGACTCTTGCTGCAGCATTTTGGATCAGCTGAAGGCTTTTCAGGGAGTTTTTAGGACTTCCTGATAATAATGAATTACAGTCGTCCAGCCTGGAAGTAATAAATGCATGAACTAGTTTTTCAGCGTCACTCTGAGACAGGATATTTCTAACTTTAGAGATGTTGCACAAATGGAAGAACGCAGTCTTACATATTTGTTTAATATGTGCATTGAAGGACATGTCCTGGTCAAAAATGACTCCAAGGTTCCTCACAGTGTTACTGGAGGCCAAGGTAATGCCATCCAGAGTAAGAATCTGGTTAGATACCATATTTCTAAGCTTTTCAGGGCCGAGTACAATAACCTCAGTTTGATCTGAACTAAGAAGCAGAAAGTTAGCGGCCATCCAGGTCTTTATGCCTTTAAGACATTCCTGCAGTTTAACTCATTGGTGTGTGTTATCTGGCTTCATGGACAGATAGAGCTGGGTGTCATCTGCATAGCAGTGTAAATGTATGCTATGTCTTCTAATGATGCTGCCTAAGGGAAGCATGTATAATGTAAACAGAATTGGTCCTAGCACTGAACCCTGTGGAACTCCATAATTAACCTCAGTGTGTGAAGAGGACTCTCCATTTACATGCACAAACTGGAGTCTATTAGATAGATATGATACAAACCACTGCAGTGCAGTACCTGTAATACCTACAGCATGTTCTAATCGCTCTAATAGGATATTATGGTCGACAGTATCGAACGCTGCACTGAGGTCTAGCAGGACAAGCACAGAGATGAGTCCACTGTCAGAGGCCATAAGAAGATCGTTTGTAACCTTCACTAAAGCTGTTTCTGTGCTGTGATGAGCTCTGAAACCTACTTAGTTTTTTGGTCTGAAATATCAGTCAGTGTCAGATGGATTTGTTGTCATGGTGTTCTGCAGATTTCCAGTAAATTGTTGTTGTCTAAAGAAAAACAGTGGTGTGGTAAAGTATATACACCTTCCAACAACCAATTACATGTATAAAATATCTCAAACTGTATCACAACATATTGTTGTTATAAACTGTCCTATTAATTATATTCCACACTCCTACTACACCAGTGCTGAACAGGATGGGCAAAATTCATGAAATGTTCCAGAGTCTACAGAGCTTTTCGATTCTTATTGTGAGTGGGAAAACACTAGTGTCATTTTTAACTGAAAGGCATCACCTTACACACACACACACACACACACACACACACACACACACACACACACACACACACACACACACACACACACACACACACACACACACACTGTCTGTCTCTGAAGGTTGTGACTCCATCACTGTCATGTTGTCATGTTTTAATACAACAAAGCACAGAGCACTGATTACACTCAGGAACAGAAAGACCGGGTTAGAGTGGCACCAAACATTTAAAGAGCCTCCATGATGCTGGTGAAATAAAAGCTGCCAGGATATCAGTCCAGTCAAGACTGCTTTTTCTGTTACAGAAGACAAACTAGAAGAGCACCTGAGGGGCTCTGGACTTCGAGCAGTGATTGATTACAAAGCACATTATTAAAACCAATCTTATGTAAAAGTGTTTTAGTTTGCCCACTTACTTGAACCTCTGAATAGGAGTACTTTTGCACCTCAATCATCAACATCTTGATTGTTTCATTTCAAATCCACTGTGTTGGAGCACACAGGCAAATCATGTTCCAAGCTCTCGTGAATTCATGAGTTACCTGAAGAATCAGCACAAAATTTCATCTAAAACACGATTAAATTAAATAACATTGATTTGTGCTGCCTAACTCTGCTCCATGAAAGGATGGGCTACAACTCTATCAGAAACACTTGGAAGGTCACCTTTAGTGTCCATTCACAGGTTTACTCAAGCTGTTCTTCTGCCTTACAAATAGGCAGCAGAAACTGAAAATCAGTATTCAAATGCACATGCCTAATACGAAATGCTTACTCACCCAATAAAAAGGAAAGTTGCTTCTTTTTTCACCAGCAATGTATTAATATAACAAAAAATATATATTTAAAAAAAAGGGGCGGGGGTGGTGGCAATTAGTTTGGTGTTTTAATCCCTGGGTCATCCTACACTTTATTCAAATTCAGGTTAAAAGCCTGCTGTGGGTCCAGTACAGCCCACAGCCCTGTGCTGTGGGACATTATCAACACAAGTCATAATCTGGGTTTGAACATTCTGCATATTGTATTCATACAAATGAGTGTCCACTGAATCACAGTCAAATATATGTGAACTCATATACAAGCATGTACTGCAGTGGAGATGACTCAGCCACAAGCATTGCCATGGAAACACTGCCTCTTTGCATTCAGTCTCTTAGTAACTGTGCAGTTGCCGAGGAACAGACCACTGTGTAGTTGTGTGTTTGTGTGTGTGAGTGTGTGCACTGAGAAATGATGTAAGTCTCTGGCTCAGTATTTGGGTGGATTCTAAAATGAGTGAAAGTGCAAAAAGAGTATATAATATATATACTTTATTTCTTTATATATATTTATTTTATGTTTAAAGGCTTTCTCTGAGATTCCTCAGGAAAATAA